TCCTGACATGGGGTGTATATATGACTGTCCTGACATGGGGTGTATGTATGTCTGTCCTGACATGGGGTGTATATATGACTGTCCTGACATGCGGTGTATATATGACTTTCCTGACATGGGGTGTATATATATGACTGTCCTGACATGGGGGTGTATATATATATGACTGTCCTGACATGGGGTGTATATATTTCTGTCCTGACATGGGGTGTATATATGACTGTCCTGACATGGGGTGTATATATGACTGTCCTGACATGGGTTTTTTATATGACTGTCCTGACATGGGGTGTTTATATGACTGTTCTGACATGGGGTGTATATATGACTGTTCTGACATGAGGTGTTTATATAACTGTCCTGACATGAGGTGTTTATATGACTGTCCTGACATGAGGTGTTTATATGACTGTTCTGACATGGGATGTATATATGACTGTCCTGACATGGGGTGTATATATGACTGTTCTGACATGGGGGCGTATATAGTATAGTATAGTATAGTATATTATATTTGGCACGAAATAATGCATTGAATTACATTATCTATGTTCAATAAACATACAACAATATATGACTGTTCTGATATGGAGTGTACATGTATATATGTCTGTCCTGACATGGGATCTATATAGAATAGAATTGCTTTATTAGGTACATCTTTAAAAAAATTTGACATTTCTTTTTTGGTTTTTAGTGAAGTAAAGCTTATTTATATATAATAAGTGTGTAAATAGCAATACCGATATAAGTAGATATCTGTGTTTCATATATGTCTGTATATAATGGTTTATATCCACCCCTGGTTAGTATTTAGTTTTTCCATTTCAGTTATTGGGGTTTACTGACAAGACATCCAAGTAATGTTAGGTCTGCCAATCAGGAAGATGTCCAACCTTTAATGGAAGGGACGATAACACCTACATTTACATTCACAGAAAAAATGAAAGTTGTCAAGGTAAACAAATTATTATTTTAAAGTGAACAAATTAACATTTCAAAGTGAACAAATTAACATTTCAAGGTAAACAAATTAACATTTCAAGGTAAACAAATTATAGTTTTAAGGTAAACAAATTAAAATTTTCAAGGTAAACAAATTATTGTTTTAAGGTAAACAAATTAACATTTCAAAGTCAACAAATTTACATTTCAAGGTAACCAAAGGTTAACAAATTAATGTTTTACCAGACTCCACACAAAGAAGTTTGCTGATTCTGGATTTTAGATTTCAGCATTCCCATGGTGGATCCTTGGAAGGAAAAGATGTATAGTATTAAGGTTATTACGAGAATACCTTAAAGTATGCACGAAAACAGTACGCCGTCGCATCAACCTCCGTTGTACATCGGTCAATACTCTTGCTGTACTGTCTCCATGCATACTTTGAGGTATTCTCGTAATAACCTCATATTAATTTCAGAGTACAATTTTTTAGTAGCTGTTCAAACAGCGTTAAAAGCAGGGACTTGTGTTTTGATCTCTGTATTCACATGTATCCACTTTTGGGTCTGTACTGTACTGTCTGTATGTATGTTTGACTTGCCTGCACTGACTGATCACATTCAAAGTTTACACATACAGAGTTAAGGTCAAT